GTCAGTCTCCTGACTTCTCCCTAGTAACAAGCTATTTGACCAGAGGAAATGGCCTCAAGTTGTGCCAGGGGAGGTTTAGATTGGGCATTAGGAAAAATTTCTTCAGTGAAAGGGTTGTCAAGCATTGGAACAGGCTGCCCAGGCAAGTGGTGGAGTCACTGTTCCTGGAGGTATTAAAAAGATGTGTAGATGTGGTGCCTGGGGACATGGTTTAGTGGTGGATTTGGCAGTGCTGGATTAACGGTTGGACTCAATGATCTTAAAGGTCCTTGCCAACGTAATGATTCTATGGTAATATACACAGGAGTTAAACTCTGGTCTATGACTAGTCGTCAGTCCTTTAGATACCAAAAAGCATATCTATACATGAGAGAGTTAATAGAGCTAGGTCAGTGCTCCAGCTTGAGCCCACTTACTTTTTGTTATACCAAAAGGTTGTTTATTGCTTAAGGCTGAGGATTACTTTTATGTAATTGCTGAGTTTATTTACTGTTGTGTAAATTACACCTTTGCTTCCTAAAATGTAACAGTATCTTTTAAGTCAGCAAAAAGTTTTGCAGGAAAGTAAATAGTGGTTTGCATATACTACATAGCGCTTTCAATAATAACAAAAAAAAAAGCTACCTGTATTCAAATAGCTAGTTTTGGAAAAGTCTAGCAGCTGTATTCTTCACATGGCATTTAGATGGACTCGAAAGTAATCCATGGGCCAAAATCTCTGGGGTTTTTGTTCACTAGAATTTAACCATCTCTCTTCTGTCTCTTAGCCACTGCTAAGAGTTATTTACCCGAGTGAAGGAGTAGCAGAGAAGGCAAATCTGTTCTTCCTGATTTGAACACATGCCTTTTGGGAAGTTAATGCTCCTGCGATACTCCTACTAACAGCAGAATTTTTTAGAAATCCATTGCCCAGTATACATTTATTCTGTTGTCTAGTTCTGCTCTTTTTCTTATTTCTTTTCTCGCAGTCTCAAGTGATTTTATGTAGAACATTCAATTTGTATTTTAATCTTGTCAATTTTTGTTAACTGCTTGCTGTAAAGGAAACAGTATTAGGGCTTCACAGTTTGTTCTAAGGAGTCTTCCTCAGTTTTCTGAAGAATATCACAAGATTTGCTGCAGTGTCTCAGTGCTGGTACAGTGTATTTGATGGCTCCCCTGAATGTGCTGTCTGCTAAAACATTCCTTTTAAAGAGGTTACTGTTGTGTGGGTAAATGGTGGTAATCTAAAATTAAGTTATTTAGAAGCGAGGTTGCCTTGTGTAGTCAGATTTATAAGAAAGGCTTCTGGAACACCAAAGGTACTCTTGGAGCTGCCCCACTAGCAGCAGAATAACTGCTGTCTTGATATGTTACTGCAGCTGCTTAGTCATAGAAAAAAAAAAATGCGTAGATTAAGAATTAGAAATAATATTTAGAAGTTGCGAGGTGGTTGAGCTTTCAAGTCATGCTTATGTAGGTTCAGTTCTTTTCTTGGAAAGAATATATGGAGTTCAAATGACTCTCTTTATTATATTTTTTATTTAAACCAGCAACTTGTAGAAGCCTCAGAGAGGTTAAAGATGCAATCCAAAGAATTGAGGGATGCCCACCAACAAAGAAAGCTAGCTGTGCAGGAGTTCTCCGAGCTCAGTGAGAGGATGGGAGACTTGCGGTCTCAAAAGCAGAAGCTGTCCCGGCAACTTCGTGATAAAGAAGAAGAGGTGGAAGTGAGCATGCAGAAAATTGATGCTATGCGACAGGACATCCGTAAATCGGAGAAGATCAGAAAAGAGGTAGCTTGATAAGATAGCTAACAATAACATGTTTCAGCTGCTGCTTATCCAGTATCTTGTGTGTGATTGTATTGAAAAATTGGGACTGTTAATGATAATTTACTTTGTCCATCTGTAAGAAATTGCCCCAGAAACTCTTCCATATAACTTTGCTACAGTTCACAAAATAGATCTTGAATTTGTTTCTAAATGGTTTACTGATATATCAGGAAGCTAACCAAGTTTTCTTTTTTTGTTTATACTCAGGCTGATTTTAATCTGGAGGAAACCATTATTGCTGTATGCCCAGCTTCTTAGTTCTTGTGTTTTGGTTCTTGTAGACTCTGACTCATAGTCAGCTTGAAAGCTAGAAAGCTTCGTGTCTCCATGTGCTTTAAGGTTGGAGTAGTCTGACTTTTTTTTTTTAGCTGAGTTTTTCTCTTCAGCTGGATGGAGGAATAGTGATACAGACTAAATATGTGGTTTTTCTTCCTCTGTAGTTAGTCATTGTAGAGAATGCCAGTAATATCTAAGCAAGTTAATTTCCAATTAGTACTCTGGGCACTTTATAGTTTTACATAAGAAGAAATGGACAACCAGAAGAGGGCATAAGAAATTATGCTGTTATGGTTAACCCAGAGTGTTTTAATCACTGAAAATGTGATCAAATTTTATGTATACTCTGGGTGAAGTGTAGAGGATAAATTGAAGAGCTTTATAAACATTGCTAGAAAATTTTTAGCAAATTGAAGGGCAGTCTGTGAAAATGTAGTAAGAGATGAAGTTTCTCAGATTTTCATCTGTGAATAAGAAGTGGTAGTTAAGTGGGAAAGGCAAAGGGCTGTGGCACCATGTTTGATGTGTAGGGCTGTGGCACTTTGTCTCTAGAGCAGAGTGCAGCAGGCATTCAAAGTGTTGTTGCTTATTCAGTTAAATATTTCCATGCAGGGCTTTATAATCTCCTGTCTTTGTTCTTACAAATTCCTCTGTTCCCCCTTTCCTAACAGCTGGATCAATCTTCTATTCAGAACATAGTTAAGTTCGTTATCTTGGCCCACAATTCTAAATACAGCCCTTTTAAAACCAAATTTGCTGGTTGAATTTGAATGCAGAAAAACAAATCTTACTCATTCTATTAGGTTTCAAAACTGTGTCACTATGCTTGAAATGCAACAGTTGCCTTAGTTACCACTAAAACTAAATTGTTTTTTCTGATAAGCTTTCGGAAGTCAGTAAATGGATGGTCAAGTTTATTTTGTTCCATAGTTGCAAAGTAAAAGTGTTCACTGTTTGTATCTGAAGTATTTTGCAATAATTTGGCTCAAAGGTTGGGGTTTTTAAGCTGCCTCAGTAGATACTGAGGCATGGAGCTGACCTATAAAAGTGAGAGACTTTCTTCTTTCACAACTGCAATGACTTCTTAGTGCCGCTTTCTCCTCTTAGCATTAATAGAAGCTGTGCAATTATCCCTGTACATACTTGGTGTAGTTCATATCGGTACAAAAAGTCATATAGTAATAGTTCTGCTGCGTGAGATAGATGGATGCCTGGATAACTGAAGGCAAAACAATTAATGACATTGAGATGTTTGTTACAGTGGTGTAATGTAAAATAGAAATAAGGAAAACTTGCTGTTCATCTGTATGGAGGAAAGGAAAGGAATGATACAGATACCACTATCCTGTGTTGAAATTACTTAAAATTACTCTTGTGACAGCTGGAAGCCCAACTTGAAGAAGTTGTAGCAGAAGCGTCAAAAGAACGCAAGCTTCGTGAGCACAGTGAGGTCTTCTCCAAACAACTGGAAAATGAACTGGAAGCTCTAAAGGTTGTGTGTTTTTTTGACAAATGTTTATTCATGGCACAGGAGCTGCAATAGTTTTTCATACTCAACTGTTGATACCTGTGGGAGGCTAAAAACTCCAGCATTACTAGAAACCTGACCTAACCTGTTCAGATTTATTTGCTTTTTTGCTTGAAACGCTTCAGTATCTCACTGCACACTACTGTCTTGAAAACATACAGCTTATATAAATTCTAAGCAGGTACTAAATCAGTGTAGTCCAAATCTGTTATCCCTGCAAACCATTTGAACCCTTATTAGGGTTGTGTAAGCAGACCGGTCACTTAGGGGTCTTAATGTGTGCAGACAGGCACCTTTTAAATCACTCAGTGCCCAAATAAGAATTTTTCCCAAGTGCCACCAATTGGACAGTTCTAATCTTAAATAATATTCCCAAAATATAAAGATCATAGTCTCTTCCTGATGATTTAATCTTCTTCTGCAGCTGAAGCAGGGGGGCCGGGCAGCAGGTGCCACACTAGAACATCAGCAGGAGCTTTCCAAAATAAAGTCTGAACTGGAAAAGAAAATATTATTTTATGAAGAGGAGTTGGTCCGACGAGAAGCGTCGCATGTTCTGGAAGTAAAAAATGTGAAAAAGGAAGTACATGATTCAGAGAGCCATCAGCTTGCACTGCAGAAAGAGATCATGATATTAAAAGATAAATTAGAGAAAACAAAGCGAGAGAGGTAAGTTTTAGTGCATGATTCATTAACTATGGATTTCTTTTTTTGCGTATTGCATTGCATAGGTGCCTGTGCAGGTTGGTATTTCACCTTAAGTCTGTTTATTCCTTTTTGAAAATCCCAGTCTACAGGTTCAGCAATGTTACATTAAAAGTGTTTCTATTTCTTGTCCTTCTTAGGCACAGTGAAATGGAGGAAGCAGTAGGAACAATGAAAGAGAAATATGAGCGTGAAAGATCTATGCTCTTGGAAGACAACAAAAAGCTGACAACAGAAAATGAGAGGGTAATTATTTTAGGAAACATTTTTAAGCAAATAGAATTCTTACTTTGTTACTTTCTGATGTTGAAGCAGTCCAGTCATTGATCAGAACAGGATCTTTGAAGGTTCAGGCAGTATCTCAATAAAACCAATGTCTTTTTTGCCATATAAATGTCAGAGATCTGCCTAAATAGTAACTTTAACATCTCAGTACTTCTCTTTGTGGGGTTGATTACCACAACTTGGAGAGGGCACCACCTTCTGACTTATTCTGACTGCAAAGAGAGGGAAGTATTTACAAAGACTGCCTGCCTTCCTGATAGCTCACAGTTAAACCTCATTCCCCTTGGTGACCTCTGCTCTTGATTTTTTTCTTTTTCTTTGTTTTGGATAGTTTTGCATTAACTGGCGATGTGTTCTTCTATGCTCAGGAGCTAGTCTCCACTTCCACAAGAGAAGAACATCTTCCAGTTCTTTGGTCTGTGTTAGAACTTCAGATAGCCTAGAGTGGTCTTGTTTGTCCAGATTCTGAAGTCTGAAACTGGCATAACTCAGAGGTAAATTCATCTGTTGTTTCAGCTCTGCTCCTTTGTGGACAAATTAACAGCTCAGAACAGACAGCTAGAAGATGAGCTCCAAGACCTAGCAGCAAAGAAGGAGTCTGTTGCTCACTGGGAAGCTCAGATTGCAGAAATTATTCAGTGGTATGTGCTATTTAGAGATCCAGATGGCCACTTTCAGCTTCTGAAATATTGATTGCCTTTGTTTTTAATGTATAGCTAGGCCATTTCTCTGTGTCTGGGATCAACAAAAGCATGGTACTTTTGAGTGTTGATTAACTGTTTTTCTTCTGCTTTCTAGTATTGCTGAGTGGTAATGACAAGTGAAATTGTCAGGTGCTATTAAGTAGGAAGGAGAAGGGTTTGGTGTCAAATTGCTTCAGTCTCTAAAGTGATCATTAAATCACACCACTTGGAATATTTTGATAAATTCATTCAGGAAGATAGTCGTGACTTAAAAGGTCCATGTTAACATACAGAACCTCACTAGCTGTACTAGATAAGCACTTGCACTTAATTCACAAGTCAGTTCTTCCCTCTGTCATTTGCTGTTTTAGCAAGCTGTGTGCAAGTATCAAGACGAGGAGGACTTGAAGGTAGCCCTTATAAAAAGTGAGCAAGCACTGTGCAGATCATATTCCAAACAGTAACAGTGAATTTCTGCAGAACTGTTGCTGATGACAGAAGGGAAACTTCAGTTTCCTTAGCAACTGCCACAATCAAGAAGATCGGATAAAAGAAAAATCTGAAGCAGACAATCTAAGATGTATTCAATTTTCTGTTGCTGGGAGAGTTTTTCCTGCTCTGTCCATTTCTGTTATGTCCCTAAATCCAGTGGTTTATGATAAATCCACTGTGATTATTTGGTGGTACAGTATTTGGTGCTATGAGCCGTGAAACTGTTAAGTAACATTTTTTGGTAATTGCACAACAGGGTAAGTGATGAGAAGGATGCTCGTGGCTATCTTCAAGCATTAGCTTCCAAGATGACAGAAGAGCTAGAATCATTGAGAAGTTCCAGTCTGGGGTCGCGAACACTGGTAAGAAAATAGCAGACGTTCAGACTGTCCTGGGGATGTCTAAGAAGCTACACTTTTAGTTTAAGCTATCTCTTCATAATCAGAATTCTCTTCTAATAAATCCTCTGCTCTGCTTTCTAGTTTTTATCTATTGTTTATGAACGCTATCTGGGTAATCTGATCAGAATTTGGTAATTACAGGGCACAGTTGTTTCGTACTAATATCTGCCATCACAAACGGCTTTGAACAGTACAGAAGAGAGAAGAAACAATAACTTAAACTGTTAAAGGGGAGTACAGAAATGTGCCTCACCACGTTAGATGCAAGTGAATAATTCTAATTGCTGTTACAGTGAGATAACAAAGTTTTCTTTTGTGAACAAGTATTAGCTGGTTGATACTGTTACAAACTAGTGACACACTGAGAGCATGTAGCTTTATTTACATACAGAACAGTGAGACCTTATACCATAGTTTTCCCATACAGTAGTAACGTGAATTCCCAAAAAAATCTGCAAAATAGAAGAGTTCTCACAAAGGAGTACAGTTTCAAAAATGAGAACACTGTTTTGCCTTGGCAGGTACTAAATACCTGCATAAGGAAAGGGGGAGCCATTTGCATCTAGGCATGGAAGCCCACATCCCTAGCAATGCCAGTCAGCACAGTCTGCCATGCAGAGTCCATCTGCTGCTGGTTTATACAAATAAGAAGATACTCACCCCTTCTAAACCTATGAATAGGAGAGAATAAGAGAAAGTTATGACTTCTTTGAGCTAACATTCGCCTACGTCATCAACAGACAATTCTAATATTGAGAGGTTTAATAGGAAGAAAGATCAGATCAAAGGCAGTTGGCATTTTCTTCTTAGCTACTGTCAGAATAAAGAACACCGTCTGTTCTTTGTATTACAGCTGCTTTTGTAGCTTCTGCAGAATCTGATCTAAGGCAATTATTTCTCAATATAAAAAGTGCCTCTCATTTTCATGGCTGTTACTTGCGTGTTCACAGGTGACTGGAGAGGTATCCCTTAGGGAATATCAAAAATGTAGTCAACAGTGAAAAAGACCTGGAAAAGCTCAGAGTGTTAGCTTTTGGGGCTAGTAGGGTGGAATTGCATGGTGCATGCAGAAGTTTAGCATATGCTACTTAGCAAGTGATTTTTTAGGCGAAAGTTCTAGATATCTTGGGTATCTCAAGACTCAGATTATTTCATTGTTTTCATGGTTTTGCCACTCCTGGTATGTTTTAGATGAGTGTGTTTTACATTAAATATTGACGTTTATCTCATGCTTGAAAGTCCAGTATGTCACTGTGTAAGTCTTATACTCTTTTCTAGACTGGACAATGAAAATTAGCCATTTTCAATGAGTTCTCTCGGTTTGACTTCCATGCTCAGACATGCAACATTTTGGTTCCAAGTATATTGTGTTAGCAGTTTAACCAATATAAAAATTGCTCCTTACTTCATTTTTGTGCGACAATCAACTGATTTCCATGCAGCAGGTATACTGTCTGTAGCTAATTGAAAGAGCATTCTCTGAACCAGTGTGAAAGCTAATTTATGTCTTGGAACAAGAACAGAAATATCTTTAGACAGTTGATATTAATATTCAGTAACTTACTGCAACAGGATCCCCTTTGGAAAGTGCGACGCAGTCAGAAGTTGGATATGTCAGCTAGGCTGGAATTACAGTCTGCCCTCGATGCAGAAATTCGTGCCAAACAACTAGTTCAAGAAGAGCTGCGAAAAGTTAAAGATGCAAACATATCTTTTGAAAGGTAATAAGGGCTTTGGTTCTATTTGGGTTTTAACGTGCTGCTCTAAACTGCTGATTACAATAGTAATTTTCTTAAAATGGCCCCTTATGCCTGGGGTGTTGGACTTTGCCAGTAGGATCCCATTCCACAGACTGCACGTTTCTTACATAGTCAAACGAGAACTGTAAAAATTTCTTCAAGTGAACATTTCACTGCTGTGAATAGCTTGGTAATAAGATACAGATCTCAGGCACCTGGGGATAAAAAAACCATAAGAGCAAATTCAATGCCTTTTCTTAGACTAACTGGAGAGTAGACATATTGTTGGGAGTTAAAAGCCAAACCACTATTAGAGCAGTTTTGTTTGGCAGGTATCTGCAAGGATAGCAGGAGTCTCCAGTACAGTTTTGACTATCTAGTCAAGTAATGAGGTGCCTATTTAGGGGAAAAATGAAATTAATCAGCCTTAAAAAAAAAAAAATCCTAAAAAACCATCACCGCCACCACTCCTCAAAAAAAAAAATAAATTTTTTTCCAAAACTCTGAGATAT